TTCTTCTTGGTTCGTCCAACGCGAAAATTCCGTAATCTTTACAAAAAAAAGTCTCCGCTATGGCAAGTCTTGTAATTATAGAGGCTAGAACCTGAAATTAGCATTCTAGAAATCAACCAATTTACTGTTTTCTGCTTAACGATACTTTACCCACCGTCCAACACTCCAGCGACCCCTCTTAATAAATTTCTATTCTTATATCTTAATGGTTCACTTTAAATTCATAGTTTTATTACATCTCTCATCATAGATTTGTTTGGACAAATTTTAAGGGGATTATAATTGATGTAAAAACATATTTTTTTTTTTTTTTTTTACTATTTTACAATTTAATACTTAATTAGTATTACCCCTAATACCTCCCCTCCTCCTCCCAAGCCTACTCCTCCTCCCTCCACTGACACGACTTTGCGGAGAAAAGAACACACGATACTTCGTCCATACTATTCATCAGAGTTTCGTTTTTATGCGGCGGATCTCGGTCGATTTTAGCCAACACGTTCAGCATGTTGCCGCTGCATCGATTGGCGTTGTACCATCAATGAACGGAGCTTCATCTTTTCTCCACGTTTGGCGCCACATTTGCACAATGGAAAGTCGCCTGGAAAACAAAAGAGAACTCTTCTTTTTTTACAAAAAAAAGAGATTCAATAAATTATAGAAAAAGAATTCGCTTCTAGCTACTTAGCAGTCGAATACATTAACGAATGGATACATATCTCGATTACTTTCGAAACAAGAGTCTCGCAGAGTCTCGTCTAGTATCAACCAGCGAGGTAATCTCGATATCGTTTCGTAGAAAAAAGAAAGTGGAGCTGCGATTAATGAACATTGGAATTTTCATCGCCTAGTTTCAGACCAGCGCAGCTCAAATACGATTCAAAAGTCAAAATTATTTAGTGAAGAAACAAATTTTTGAGACGTTCCATTTTCTGATTGGACATTTGATCCTACACCAGCCGGAAGATCCGATTCGATATTTATATCAATTACTCGATGACTGTATACTATTCCGATTGGGATTAAAACAGCCACGACTATTTTGGATGAAAAAGTAAGTACCAAGTGTAAAAGTGACGCGTTACATTCAAGTTATTGCACTTTTAAAAATAAAAAGTACATGTACCTTTCTCAACTGTCGCAGGCAGTTGAATAGCATTTTTCGAAACATCAGCGTCCGTGACTCGGGATTCGTGTCTATAGATTCGTACAAATTTAGCATGAAGATGTTCAATATACATTCGTATAATCCCCGTCCTGTCGAGTGTACTCCAGGATACGTAAATTGGCAAACATTTTGCTCCGAAATGTAAGTTTTTTCTTCTTCCATGAAGAGGAAAACGAAAAAAAAAAAAAAATAAGATTTTACAAAAAGGGTTGGACACGTTTCAGAATGAACAGCATGGAATATGAACTCGCGCGAATCACCGAAAAACCTACTTGTTGTTAAATCCGCACACCCCTTGCCATTGCAATTTGCCGACAGAGTAAGATAAGAAAACAAATTATAAATATATACGGTAGGTAAGGTACATGAACAAATTTTCACCATTAAATCCGTGTAAATTATTGTACAAGCATGACACAAAATTGAGAATCGACGGTCAACATCGATACAGAATGTAATAATAAGAAACATTTAATTATTGTTATGAAATTCCACGGTACCACGAATGGCTCGTAATAATAACAATATAGTCACAATATTGTAGTCACAATCCCGGCCACAGCAACAACAACAGTAGCAGTGTAGCGGTATGTACTAGCATACTGGTGACGAAACGAACAGAGAGATAAACGACAACGCTTTTGGATAGTTCGAGTAAGACGTAAAAACTAAAGAAAAGAACGGACGGTGCAGAGTGACAGAGAACACAGGATGAGAAGGGAATGGGTAAGGAAAAAAGAGAGGTACATATAGGACAGGGAGAATGAAAGGACGAAACTGAACGGTGTGCGAGTGGCAAGGCGTGGCGAGGCGAAGCGACGCGGCCAAAACATATGAGCCGAGTTGTAGCTGTAGCGGCTGTAGCACAAACACTACCAAAGAGACTCGGGTACCGAAGGATGAGAGTAGGGAGAAGGGTGAGATCAACGGGGAACGACAGCCGAAAATAGTTGTGCACAAGTTCTGTAAGCGGTCGCTACAAACGTCTAGAGACCCGTAGAAATACGTCGACTCGCGTGATAGCTAAAGTAGTTTTTGCGAGTGTTTACCAGCCCTCCACGTTCCAACGACGACAAGCATGATCCTTCGGATATTGTCGATTTCGCTCGTTGAATGTACGCGACCGTACGACCACGAGTCTCGAATACGCAGTGTAGAGAGAAGAGTGAGTAGAATCAGTTAGGAAATCTGTAAAGACGCACCAGGACAATTTTGCGATCGACGCTCGACCGCAAACGATTCGCTTCGAACGCAAGCCAATGTGCTCGACCACCGTAATGACGTTTCCATCTGTTGGTAGTAATTATAAAATTTGGAAATCGGGTAGACCATCTCGTATACGGTAACACGACGACTAAACAACTACGACGACGACAACAACAACAACAACAACAACAACAACGATATTCAGTGATGTACTAAAATCGGAGACAGATATATCTAGAGTACGTAGTCTTGTTGCGTCTCTCCATCGCAGTCTCTGCAATCACTTGTGTCCTAAATCGAATGTTTCAGTTTCTATAAAAAGGTAAAAGTTAAAGAAAAAAAAAAATGACATAGGAAGAATCGCGTATCTGTATGCACGTTCGCTGCAAAGAATATCCTTAAAAATGAAAATGCCGTGCACGAGGTTCTAAAGTAAAATGCAAATCGAGTCGTTTGGTAATATTTAGTGGACGCAATACGGGATCAACGAAAAATGAAACCGCTTACGTTCGTCGCTGGTTTGATATCATTACTGTTACATCAATATGTTAACGTCGTGTCATCGGCCCCCACGTACCAACATGCTGCCCTACAAGCCGCCGATCAATGCGACTGGATTGGAAGGTTTGTATTTCTTATATTATTCGTTATTTATTATATTTGAAATCTTTCTTTTTCCGCAACCATTTCCTATTTTTGATCGCTGCTACCGCCGCTGACGCAGACCGTAACTGCCGTATATAAAGTCTAAAGAGTAATTCGCAGAATTTCTGTTAAATTTAACTGTACGCGACATCGATCTACTCGCGGTTCGTCGCGCGATACAACATAGTCTATGTGTACACACAATGCGTTTCGATCTCTATAATGAACAAGGAAAACTCTGCGACTTTTATTGAACGCGAAACCAGTCGCACGACTTACGACCAGAACCGGTTTTCTCAGACATCCTCCGAGCCCACTCGAGAAGCATCTCGCGGGCTAGCGTTCGATTTATCATCTCTTTCTTTACCAAAGAAAGAGCGGTTCGAGTTCGCGCCTTATAAGCAACGGTTCTTGCTCAATACATACATACAATATATCCGTGCACACTTATGTGGAGCGTAGTATAGATAAACGCCAAACGTGTATGTAAATGTTTGCAAACTCTCGCTGCATGGTCGCAATGTCTTGCCGACGAGTGATCGAATTGAAAACAGGGAAAAACAGGGAAATGATGAAAATAAAAGCGCAAAAGCGACAACTATCTCGACATTTACCGGTATTATTGCGTTACAGCGGGGGTGGTGGACGAGGTGTACGACCAGTCTACCTTCGATGTTCGAGAGGGACTGTGATTTGGCGATATGCACGTGGAGCTTTACGAGTCGTTCTATCGCCTCCCGTTTTAACCGAATCCGTTCCAAGAGTCGATTCAGATTCGGATTCTGAATCAATCGAGACTGGTAAACGGGGTCAGAGAAACAACGTTTATGCGAATCAAAGTACGTTGACTGGAAGCTTCGACAACGTTTCTCGATTATTATCTGGATTTCGAACGTGCATCAAAGTTTCTGGCCCTGTCAGAGTATATTTGGAGACTCATGGGAAACTTCGATCGTTGTATACCCCACGAGATGGTAAGCACAGGGCGTCTCACAGGTGTTTTTACGCTGCTGCTGCTGCTGCTGCTGCTGCCAACAAACAACCAGCGGCGCTATACATCGAGGCGGAAGAACAGCCCGTATCTGGTGAACATCGCGACGTCAAGTTACAATACGATTTGGAGGTACGACAACGACGACGTCCACACCGCGTCATCGACGAACCTCGAGGAAGATACAGCATGTACAACGAAGAGGAGGATGAGGACTGTAGGCCGTGCTCTGCCGAGGAATTGGCAAAAGCCTACTGTCAAAGCGATTTGGTTGCCAGAGGTACCGTGAGTGCCGTCCAGAACCAACTGAATTTGGAAGCGGCTGAACTTATCCTCACTATAACAAAAACCTTGCATCGGGTCGAAGAAACTGAAGTACGTTGTTCGCTTGCAGCATCTAAACTTTTTCTTTTTCTTTTTCTTTTGCCCCTTCGTCCTTCAACGTTACCATCATTACCGTGATCCAAGGGTTGGGGAGGGGGAGGGGGTGGTTCTATCCGTATATCTTTTGCCTTGCCAATTAATCCAGTTACTCGCCTACGAGACAAACAAAACGAATTCAATTTCTTGTCTTTCATCATGTTTCCTATTGTGTCGACAGGGAAATAACGATGAGAATATCGTCGAGTTCCACGATCGAAGAAATGTTCGTGTCAGAGTGCCAAGTGCCTGCGATGCGCGACATGGGCAGGGCGAGTTTGTGATAATGGCTAAACGAAGACTCGGTGACCTTATTTTAGTTTGTGCGCCGAGACTGGAGACGTGGGCGATAACGGTCCGTGAACTGGAAACCGCTCCGTGCGTCCTTCGAAGTTAGCTTTCAGTATGTAACAAAACGTGTCTGTAAATAAATTGTATTTTCTTAATACTATATACTAATACCTAGTATAATTAGAGTATAATAATACTAGACTCGAATCGACTAGATTACACTACGCTAGACTTTGTACCGACTACGACTACGCTAGATGATTATTTCTTTTCTATACTACGCGAATGCCGATCTCCGAACTGTGATATTGTTTTGTAAAAATTGTGTTGTGCAAAATATACTCGTTACATTTGCTCCACATTATTTTAAATCAACTCTGTATACTTAACTTCATCGCAAAAATCATCCGCTACCGTTCTCCATTCGGCTTTCGTTTCTCACTTCCTTACCGTGTGCGGTGCGCCTCGTTTCATGTCCTAGGAGTTTTTACCGTTCTACGAAACGTTTCGTTGGAAATCCATTAATCGGATTCGTCGTGTAAATTCTTCAAATTGACAAACTATAATACAATTTCGTTCTTTTATATCAGATTCATAAAACTGCGCAGATACAAGGATTCGTATCGATTAAAATTTTAACCGCCTTCCGTTTTTAAAGCGACGGTAGAGCATGAAAACAGTGAACAATGTTTTCTTTTTTCTTCTTTTTTTCTTTTCTTTCTTTTTTTCTTTTTTCCTTTCTTAAGCTTTCAACCAAATCGGCTAACAGAGGCAAGAGTTGAGTCGAACGGGTTGAGTCAAGTACACGTATGCGTAGAGAGTTCGGTGCGAATTATACAATGCGATGCAAGCGATTCACTGGGTACCATCCGATCTGCTTTACAAATCGATTTTGAACGAGGAGACTCTTTTAGTTTCGTTGACGATAGCGTGGATCGAAAGATTCCATTTTAAATCGCAAACCAAAAGAGAAAACTTGTTGCGCGCGGTATATTTAACGACAACAACGCGACCAAGTTTCAGCACGATATTTATGTTTTTCTCATTTATCAGTCGCAGTCGACTCGACAGGTCACATTTGGAATTATATAATCGGACCCATGCGAGCAACGATGTAACGACATAGCTCACACACCGACATGATACGATACGATACGACACAAACATGTCACTGCTACTCGTACTTCGACCGCGATTATCGTGTACTCGTGTAAGGATAATTAGGACACAATGGCAAGACGAGATCGTCCATGTTTGGCAAGACTACCAGTTTTTCAAATTCTCTGAGCAATTTGTCCTCTATCCACTTGGTTACATAAGCGATGTTGACCGCTCTCTCGCCGACAGCAGGTTTCACGGTAAGAGTTACTTTCGGCACCGGCTTGAAACCGTACCACAAACGATCTGACGGCGCCGGTGGAATGTTCAACGATAGACAACCTTCTATACTCGACACTGTGACCATTAAGCGAATTTCGGTGTTCGAAACGCCCTCCATGGCCCTTCGTACGTAAGACAGTTCGGTGGCCTGATCATGACAGAAAATCACATAGAATTTTCCAGCGTAACATGGTAGAAATAGCAAGAATCGAATAAACTTGTTTAATGCAACATATACTTACGTGCTGAAAGTATTTACTCGCAGCTATTCTATCTACTATACTGAGAAACTTTCTTCCAGACGATTGTACGGGTGGACTGTAACAGAAACAAATGCGAGGAACCACAGTGGGCAATTTTGCAATATAAGAAGTAAGTAAGAAGAATTAAACCCGCGCATCGCACAGGCAATCGACGACATACCCTGTTTCCTTAGTAGCTGGACTGTACAACTGCGAACTATCGTCATCTTCTGTGGACGTTTCTGGCGTGTCTTCCATGTCGCTATCGAAAATCGGTGACTTGGTCACCGTCTTATCTTTTCCCGGGCAAGCTGCAACATTACCGTCATTGCCGCTACCACCCGCAGCTACACTACCACTGCCACCGCTAATCGTTCCAGTTCTAGTTAATTTCATCAAGTTCAATTTCGTTTCAACGGTCATGGTCAACGATCCTTTGTATGTTATGTCAAAATCAAGCCAAAGGCCCCTCTCGTTTGTAACTGGTTTCGTTACGTTGCGAATGATAGGCGATCCTTGACCTATTGCTACCTCCGAAACTAAAAGGCACTTCATAAAATATGGTAATTTTATACTAGATAATTTCCGTTGTATTTTATCCTGTATCAGATTTACAGTTTCTGGACACTTGTGTACATCGAACAATATACGAGCTACTAAACAATTGATCCAAAGCGTATTGTCGATATAAGGGAAATGTTCATTTTCTACGATTGAACTGTTGGTTTCCAAATGCTTTGCCATGTATGCGTTGTAGTTAAGTTCAGGTACACATTCGAAAGAATGGCTGGTTGAGGCAGATAATTTTGATTCTGTAATTACGGTTCGCTGTGCAGACAACGCTGTATTCGACGTCGATGATGGATCGGTTGAAAAACACGACAACGTATCGTGTCTTTTAATGCGTCGCATAGATGCAGAGACCAACCGCCTGTACCAATCCTCCTTTTCGCGATCGGCTCTAGCAAAAATAAATATTTTTATTCGGTTCCGCAGTCTACGACTACTCCGACGCTTTTTTCGAGTATCTTTCTTCGACCGGGTAGCCTGTGTCGTTCCACCTCCACCTATAGTTTCCCATTCGTCTTTCTCCTCCTCCCTTTCCTTTGTCCCCACCTTCTTTTCTCCCTTCTCCTCCCTGTCTTCTGACTTTTCATTAACAATTTCTATTTCCCGCGTTTTCTTGTTGTCGTCTAACCTTTCATTCTCGTTATCTTCATCTTTTTTATTGTCACCGACATCGCTATTATCAGCATTATTGTCGTTGTCGTTGTCGTCATCGTCGTCGTCGTCGTCGTCGTCGTCGTCATCGTCGTCGTCGTCGTCGTTGTCGTCTTCCTCGTCGTCGTCATTTCGGTCATTGTTGTCAGAGCGCTCCCCCTGCCCCTCGTCCGATTCTCGTTTCTGACATGATTCCGTGCCTTCTTTTGCCAAACTTCCCACCTCTTCTTTGCCTTTGCTTCTTCCCTCTGTTCCTAAATTCGATTTTCTTGGAAACTTGATTTGCTCTAAAATCATTCGCCGCTTTCTTCGCCTCTTCTCGACGTAACTACTTTCAGAATTGTAACACTTGTTCGCATTCTCTTTTGCCATATCGTTTTCCTTTTCGCCGTCCCCTCTATCATTAATCCCATCTTTTTTATTCTTTTTTGTGTATTTTTTGTACAGCTCTTCCACATTTCTACTTTCTAGGAGCCGCTTACCGCATTCCGCGCATTCGTTGCCAAATTCATCGTTGTCGAAATCAGAATGAAAATTCTCAATATCGTCCTCCAACTCGGCAGTGTCTTCTTCTTCCNATTAAACCCGCGCATCGCACAGGCAATCGACGACATACCCTGTTTCCTTAGTAGCTGGACTGTACAACTGCGAACTATCGTCATCTTCTGTGGACGTTTCTGGCGTGTCTTCCATGTCGCTATCGAAAATCGGTGACTTGGTCACCGTCTTATCTTTTCCCGGGCAAGCTGCAACATTACCGTCATTGCCGCTACCACCCGCAGCTACACTACCACTGCCACCGCTAATCGTTCCAGTTCTAGTTAATTTCATCAAGTTCAATTTCGTTTCAACGGTCATGGTCAACGATCCTTTGTATGTTATGTCAAAATCAAGCCAAAGGCCCCTCTCGTTTGTAACTGGTTTCGTTACGTTGCGAATGATAGGCGATCCTTGACCTATTGCTACCTCCGAAACTAAAAGGCACTTCATAAAATATGGTAATTTTATACTAGATAATTTCCGTTGTATTTTATCCTGTATCAGATTTACAGTTTCTGGACACTTGTGTACATCGAACAATATACGAGCTACTAAACAATTGATCCAAAGCGTATTGTCGATATAAGGGAAATGTTCATTTTCTACGATTGAACTGTTGGTTTCCAAATGCTTTGCCATGTATGCGTTGTAGTTAAGTTCAGGTACACATTCGAAAGAATGGCTGGTTGAGGCAGATAATTTTGATTCTGTAATTACGGTTCGCTGTGCAGACAACGCTGTATTCGACGTCGATGATGGATCGGTTGAAAAACACGACAACGTATCGTGTCTTTTAATGCGTCGCATAGATGCAGAGACCAACCGCCTGTACCAATCCTCCTTTTCGCGATCGGCTCTAGCAAAAATAAATATTTTTATTCGGTTCCGCAGTCTACGACTACTCCGACGCTTTTTTCGAGTATCTTTCTTCGACCGGGTAGCCTGTGTCGTTCCACCTCCACCTATAGTTTCCCATTCGTCTTTCTCCTCCTCCCTTTCCTTTGTCCCCACCTTCTTTTCTCCCTTCTCCTCCCTGTCTTCTGACTTTTCATTAACAATTTCTATTTCCCGCGTTTTCTTGTTGTCGTCTAACCTTTCATTCTCGTTATCTTCATCTTTTTTATTGTCACCGACATCGCTATTATCAGCATTATTGTCGTTGTCGTTGTCGTCATCGTCGTCGTCGTCGTCGTCGTCGTCGTCATCGTCGTCGTCGTCGTCGTTGTCGTCTTCCTCGTCGTCGTCATTTCGGTCATTGTTGTCAGAGCGCTCCCCCTGCCCCTCGTCCGATTCTCGTTTCTGACATGATTCCGTGCCTTCTTTTGCCAAACTTCCCACCTCTTCTTTGCCTTTGCTTCTTCCCTCTGTTCCTAAATTCGATTTTCTTGGAAACTTGATTTGCTCTAAAATCATTCGCCGCTTTCTTCGCCTCTTCTCGACGTAACTACTTTCAGAATTGTAACACTTGTTCGCATTCTCTTTTGCCATATCGTTTTCCTTTTCGCCGTCCCCTCTATCATTAATCCCATCTTTTTTATTCTTTTTTGTGTATTTTTTGTACAGCTCTTCCACATTTCTACTTTCTAGGAGCCGCTTACCGCATTCCGCGCATTCGTTGCCAAATTCATCGTTGTCGAAATCAGAATGAAAATTCTCAATATCGTCCTCCAACTCGGCAGTGTCTTCTTCTTCCTCTAACAACGCTTCGTCTTCGTCAATTTCTTCCCCCTTCTTGTGATCTTCTTGTCGTTGGAGCCACTTGCCACATTCCGCGCATTCGTTGCCAAATTCGTCGCTGTCGAAATCAGAATGAAAATTCTCAATATCATCCTCCAACTCGGCAGTGTCTTCTTCTTCCCCTAACAATGCTTCGTCATCGTCAATTTCTTCCTCTTTCTTGTTGTCTTCTTGTCGTTGTTCTTGTCGGGTTTGTCCCATCGTGGGTTCTGCTTCTTTCGTTTTCGATGCGGATATCGTTTGCTCGTAACCGTTGACCGCCAAGTAATATGCGTCATTCGCCGAACCCTTTAAACTTACGTTACAAACGTGTGCACGTTTTGTCTTCAAAGTTATGCAAATTGGATATTTCTTACTCCATCTCCGTCTTCTGGCAAGTCCACGAGGAAGGAGCTCTATCTTTGCTCCAGACAGATTATAAACTCTCTTCTTAACAAATTTCAATTTTTGTTGCGTTTCATCCCAGACTGCCTTCTTTGGGACTTTCATTCTAGTTTCCATGATGCGCAATATAGTGCCTTCTAGCCTGAAGAAAACGGATTTGGTACGAGCTACGTGATAGTTAGTGGGTTCGTAGCGGTACGGCAGTTCGTTTAACCAGCCTTGAAATCTCTCGATCACAGCATGCTCCTCCACTGCAGGAATTTCTAAAACAGGTACTATTTGTCTGTCCGCAAGATCTTCGTCCGGTATATTTGTCAAAATCATTTTAAACCTCGTCGCTGTATTGTAAAACGTTATCGTTGCGATAACACCCGTTACAAGTCCGAATAGGTATTCTGGTAATGGAGCAGCATAATAAATGCAACAAATTGCTACCAGGGCAGCAACCGACCTGTACGTTAACTGATAAGCCAGCTGTTTCAACAAATGTAAAAAGATCACCTTGAGATTTTTTTGGTTTAAAAATATAGCAGAACGAATACGGGGTGTTTGCTTTTGAATGCTGCTAACATTACCGCCGTCCGATGACTTTGTCAATAATGTATCGCTATTTGTACGTGGAGCTGAATCTTCGTCAATGTGCGAAGAAAATTCTGATGCTTCTATGCCACTTTCAACGCACTCGTCTTGCAAACTTTTGTCTTTTAGACCTGTCTTTACAGAGGAAAATCCTGCATATCTAACTGGGTTACCTCTGCGAACAACCGTAGATGTAGTCGGTTCGCTTGTCTGTTTATCACCGCCAACTTTATCGTCGCAGGGACTGATATTTCCCTGATCCTCCAAATCGCTGATGCTAGAATTCTCTGCTTGGGAATGACAAGGCTTCTTCTTATCGCTTTTTATCTCCGACAGTTTTTCTTCAAATGTTTTTGTGATTTTTCCCTTTATGTCCGACAACATTTTCCATGGATCTAAAGACGGCGGCGTACCTTCCGGTATTATACTTTCCGCGCTAATCGAACGGCATTCCAAATTGTTTTCGGACATATCCGATTCTTGCGTAGGTTTTTTTTCGATGCATTTCTGTGGAGAAGAGGTTAGTTTAGATGAAATTCTTTCGAATTCGGGTGTTAATCTCTTCTCTTCGTCTGTACTTGGATATATTTCTTCGAGTTCGTCGTCGCTGACATGGTAATGAATTACAGGAACCGAGGTCGTAATAGGTTTACCTTGTGAAAGAATAGCAGACGCCATTAGAAAATTATTCGCCGAGAACGAACGGTCCTAATTAAATTACTTAAATAAACACAAAACACATCTCGTACTATCGAACTCATTTATACCTCTACGACAGTTGCCTTACCTTTTATCATAGCCAATGTTACTTTTCTTGGGCTGTGCTTGGTGTTCATATTTGGGAAATATTTAGTTTAGCGAGCGATCGATAAGCGAATATTTTTTAAATACATACTCTATCAACATATTTTTAATAGCACGCATCACAAAATTCCACATTCGCTTTCTTTGAATTGTTTAATCCAAGCTATGTCTGTGATTCACTTGTTATTCATGATTGTGATCGACAATGATCGGACAAACGTTTCCGTTCGTTATCCAAGTCTAATCTTCATGTCATTTTTTCATGCACCTTCGAAAGTGCCGTGCCGGCGATAACAAACAGAAAACAGACTGAAACAGACCACACATTCACATCACAAACGACATGTTATATGACTGCAGCTTCTGCGCGTTACGGTTGCGAGCTACAATACATTCAACGATGTGCACGTACATTATACATATGTATATATTTTCTTCGGGTAAATTGTATTTACATGTATGCAATTAATTTCTTAAGTTACAATGTAATATATGTAGAAAGATCAGAAAATGTTGATTAGTATACTGTACGTATATGCGCATATACATACATCGTGTATTATAAATGTATTTTATGTACATACGTAGAGTATAGAAACAATCATATTTAACACTGGTACAGCTATGTATGTACATACATGCATGCTTGTACATATATATATATATATATACATGTACAAGCATGTGTCCTGTAGGTACGCATGTATGGCATACATACAGTAATGTGTCCTTCACACTATCTATAGTGTAGAATCAACATTTTACATGATCACGATCTGATCTGACTTCTACGTCGTTTTTATTTCCACCATCCTATTGTATATTTAGCGAAAAGTACAGCTTCGATAATATTACATTATTACAATGTAATTAAACCAATAATATTGTATAACGATATTATGTATTTAAAATTGCACGATAAATTGAAATTTCTATCAACTCGGTTCACCGAGAATTGGCAGGAAATGTAAACAGCTGCACATAAGCAGACCAGAGCCGAAACGTAACGTTCAGAGCCAATCATCTGCGACTGTAGCGTTGAAAACGTGACTACATTTCCTGCTAATTCTCGGTGCAGTATACCACCATTTTACTGCGCATCCATACCACAGTGGATCCTGACTCAGCAGTGATTTGTCAGCCAATTATAACGAAGAACATTTCTATACTGACCCTCGCTAACGGATCAGGTTGCGGCCTCGAAGTGTGCAGGCGTAAGAATCATTACTGTACGTACAGCATACAGTGCAACATATGTGCATACAATGACATATATTATATGTATATTGATCGCAAATACGGATAATACAGTAGTTGTAGATTTCTCTGTTATCAACAGTAATATATATATATCTCTCCCTCTCTCTCGTGTATGCAATTGTATTTGATTGCATTGTATATGTAGAAAGCGAAAGAAAGCATGCATAAGTACGTAGTGCATGGTGGTGCACGGTGCCTTCATTTATGTTATGGCTCGATAACACAATAAATTGTGTTACGTTTTGTATTTATTTTCTACTATAGAAACCTAACTAAAATTGAAAAGACTAGAACTTCGGTTGCATAACAATAATGTCTCTATGGTTGAAACATTTAATATCTGATACATCGGAAACGAAAAATTTTCGGTTAAACTGGTAGTTATGTATGTACTGTGAATCGAAGAATCGTAAAGTTGACATTTATAACATACAATAGTCATCTTCGTAGTATGTATATATTAAAATGTTTTTCCGATTTCTCTTTTAAACGGATATATGGTGTACATACATTGTATTGTTGCGCGCGAACATACATGAGCCACGTGTCCGTGACGTTATCGTTGTCCTTTAAATACATGCGCGATATTGTTCGAACACGATAATTCTGAGAACATTTTGATAAATTAGAAAGTATTTCCGTATTTTCAATGGAAATTGGAATTTATAAGGAAAGAAATCGATTGACAGTTAAAAAGATCTTGAATATCTGAAAAACACGATACACACGCGTGAAGAAGGTGCATTATTATTATAGAAATGTGTGCCATGTGACGTATTGTTTCCGACGTTTATATTATCTCTCGTCGTTATTGCGACGAATGATGACAATGACAGTGAAATAAGGAATTGCTGTTATCGATTAATGAACAAGATTCTGCTAAAATGAGTATTATTTAATGCTACCTGGCGTGTCATAGTTTCCACAAATTTCATGGAAATGTAAATGAAGATAGGGCAACAAATAGTTTTCAATGATGCTGTATCGTACGTTGCATGAATTTAATGGAACAGCCGTTTTATTGAAGATTTTCAGAAATTGTCTAGGATGCTGGTCCACGATATGAAGAGTGAACGTATCGTATGTTGCACAAAAAAAATGATGCAAATTCTCTTTCGTACAAATGAAATATCTTTTAAGAACAGTATAGAATATTGAGTTTGCTCGACTCGAATGCATGGAAGCAAGTATCAAACTATCGTATAAACAATGCGACTAATACCTTTCGCACAATTTCTTTTCATTATTGGGGTATTGTTTTTTATCGCTGATTCGACCATACAATCCGACGAGTCTGATCGCTTGGATACTTTTAAACAAGAGGTACGACGATATAGAATTGTATGAATATTATGCAAAGAAAAATTGGTAATTTTACTTATTTGATAAAATCACAAACATAACAATGACGGTTTTGTTGTACGCACGTAGAGAAACACAGAACTGGTGTCGGAACAAGACGAACCTCTCCTAATATTTTCCACATTGGACGGTTCTCTTGTAGGTGTAGAACAACGCTCTGGGGAAATACTTTGGCGACAGAGCGATGGTAATGCGGATGGTTTGCTAGAACAATTATATTGTTGGCACGACAGGAACCAGTGCTGTACCGGTTCTTTTTGTTACAGAACCAGTTGTGAAGATGCCGGTCCATATCTCGCGAGCTTCCATGACGTATGTACGCTTCTTGGTTGAGGTAGCCGTATTTATACTTCTAATTTCTTGATTCATTTTACAGACCAATGTTTTTACCGGATCCAAAGGATGGTTCCTTGTATATATTTGGTACGGAAACCGAAGCGTTGAAGAAATTACCGTTCACTATTCCTCAGCTCGTGGCGAACAGTCCCTGCCGTAGCAGCGACGGAATATTATATACAGGCAGGAAGGTAGACACGTGGTTCAGCGTGGATCCACGAACTGGGCAAAGAGAGCAATTACTAGGATTCGACAAAGTTAAAAACACTTGTCCCGTCGAGATGCAGGATGGTGTTTTCGTGGGACGTACGGAGTACAACATCATCATGATAGATGTGAAACGAAAAAATAGAAAATGGAACGTTACGTTTTACGACTATTCTGCCGCTAAAATGGAACCTGAAGGAATAGAGAATTATGGTCGGATAAATTCGTTAGCGATACCATTACCATTATTAACACGAGCACGACCTGTTACCTAATTATCTCTTGCAGATTTGGTTCATTTTACAACGAGCTCAACTGGTCGCGTCGTTACCGTGGATAAAAGATTAGGAATTGTTCTTTGGGAGTTGGATGTACAGAGTCCGGTAATAGCTGTGTATATAGTGAGAAAAGATGGGTTGCTCACGGTTCCATTTACCAGTGTTGCCGATGGAACCATGGATCATCTATTGGAACGTTTTGCGAGTAAACCGAGCGACATCAAGTTGTTGTAAGGATTGTAATTATGACCGAAAGTGTTGGCAATATTGTTTTGCATGAACGCAATGTTACATTGCGTCTCGATTTTCTTCTTCCCGGTCATTTTCGTGTTGTTGTTTCCGTTTCTAGTCCAACGTTGTACATTGGCCAACATAGGTACGGATTATATGCGCTACCATCGCTTGTTGATTCTGCAACGGCTACGATATCGAGTAACATCGAACAGTTACTGTTAGAGGGCCCATTGTTGGTTTCACAGACGGGCAAGAATGATAATGCGGTTCCTGTATCCGGCAGCAGTCATGCTGACGCGTACGGTGACGATAATGTTGAAGAGAGTGTCGCTCAGACAGGATATCGGACGGTGATCGCGTTAGGTAATAACAGTTGTTGTTACGCGTTAGGGTAGAAGAATTCAGTTTTCTGCGGTAAAATGAATTTGGTTGATTTGGTCGTGATATAGGACATTACGAGATACCAGCGGAATATAGACTGCAGAATCAAGAACCGCTCCAGATTACCGGTCGGTCCGATCCTGTGATCGAAACGTTACCGACCTCTTTACGGTACTCGAATTCGACGAAGGAATCGTTATTGTCGCTGGATTTGCAGACCGGTGACAGTGGACCCGGTAGATCCAACGGTTTAGGAGATACGAGTTGGCATGAGATTGCACGCCAGGCATACGTTAGCATCAGGAGTTGGTTTAATCAGCAAGAAAACAAAGGACTGAAATTGGCATTAATCGCGTTGGTGGGGTGCATTTTGGTGATGTTTTGGTATTTAAATGCACAATTTAAAGAGTTTCAACAATTCTCGCAGGTAACTCGGTTTCCCCTATTGCATTATACATTGTAAGACGTTATTCAATTTCGACGTTGTTCCATTTTCGTGGACATATTTGCTTCTGCGAATATTTCAAATTGAAAATTGTGGCCGAGACAATTTAAAAAATCGATTTTAAGTCGATTGTTTTTTAACAGGGTTCGCGAGAAAGTAGTCGCACGAGTAACGATTATTATCACGGGGTACGATCGAGTGCGCTCACAGTGCCAGAGGACATGGGCGAAGGAGTGGTAAAAGTTGGCAAGATCACTTTCGATACCGGCCAAGTATTGGGGAAAGGATGCGAAGGAACTTTTGTATACAGGTAGTATTCAGTCATCGAACGTTTGCTCGAAACTCGAAAGCTTGTCCCAGGATGATCTCTGGTTTCGATGTGCTTTTCATTGGCGCGTGGACGTCTTTTGATTTTAGAGGCGAGTTCGATGGTCGTTCCGTAGCGGTGAAACGTTTGTTGCCAGATTGTTTTACATTCGCGGATCGCGAAGTAGCACTGCTCAGAGAATCAGATGCACACGCGAACGTGGTACGGTACTTTTGTACCGAACAAGATCGAATGTTTCGATATATTGCATTGGAGTTGGCCGAGGCAACGTTGCAAGATTACGTTGCGGGAAAATATGTTCGAGAAAAAATATCCGCGAAAAGCATTCTACACCAGGCTACATCCGGATTAGCTCATCTACATTGCCTCGATATCGGTGAGGTTTTCCTTTGAACGTATGCCTACGTACGTCGTGCCTACATACCGGGACTAATCGGTAAGTATCGATGTGCTTACAGTGCATAGGGACATCAAGCCTCACAACGTGTTGTTATCTGCGCCGGGGCCACGCGGAGAAGTTCGAGCGATGATATCCGATTTCGGATTGTGCAAGAAACTCCAGCTGGGTCGTGTATCCTTTTCGCGTAGATCCGGTATAACGGGTACAGACGGTTGGATAGCGCCAGAAATGTTGAATGGGAACAGAACGACCTGTGCCGTAGATATTTTCTCTCTCGGCTGTGTTTTCTACTATGTGCTCTCCGATGGGAAACACCCGTTCGGAGATCCGCTACGTCGACAAGCCAACATTCTTTGTAAGACATCGCTACGATTCGACCTACCAGATGCCTACATGACTATGCAGCTGGTAGACAATTGATATTTTGTAATTGTTCTCCGATGAATTTTGACGTATCGCGTATCGTATCGTAGGCGGTGAGAGCGACTTGACGGCCCTCTGCGAAGAAATTTCCGAAAGCGATAGGCAACTTGCATTGGTGCTGATAAAGGCTATGATCGCCAATGATCCAGCGGAACGACCGCCGGTTGTAGCTGTCTACGAGCATCCTATATTTTGGGAACCGTCGCGAATATTAGCGTTCTTTCAGGTATACCTTTTCCATTTAGGCCTCTTTTACATGCACCGTATTGATGCACCGTAGCATATGTAATATACATATATCGTAGTATATACGCGTATAACACCGGTATAGATTACCGGCTACAAAACATTCTCCATGATTTTTCTGTACGACGTTTGCTTTCTCGAAAACGATGTCATTAGGATGTGAGCGACCGAGTAGAAAAGGAACAGAGCGACAGTCCAGCTTTAATCGCGTTAGAAACCGGCAACCATCGAGTAGTGCAGGGTGATTGGAGATTATTTATCGACGTGGAAGTTGCAACCGATCTTCGAAGATACAGAAGCTATCGCGGAGAGAGCGTTCGTGATCTTTTAAGAGCGTTGAGAAACAAGGTACACCGGATGATTCCTTTGGATAGTAAATAGTATATGTATAAATGATGCGCGTACGTGTAAATTGGCTAAGGCGTAAAATCGAAAATCTAACATGTAGTTGTGGAACAGTTTTTGATTCGTACGCGGTATTTCTTTCAGAAACATCACTACAGAGAATTGAGTCCAGCCGCTCAAGAGAACCTTGGGGATATTCCGGACAAATTCACCGATTACTGGCTTTCCAGATTTCCCTGTTTATTGTCGCACGTGTGGTGTGCCATGCAAACGTTTCGCGATGAACCAACTTTTCGAGACTACTACCACATTGATTACAAGTTTGTGAATCACGTTTACAGCATGGAATCTGCGGGAGATGCGACCGACGCTTACTCTGGCAATTACGTGATAACAACTGCTTCTTGGAGAGTTAGAGACGATAACATCGATTGGAGTCCGAATAGAACAAGATATCGTGGACATCGTAGGAAACACGAGAAAAAGAAAATCGAAGTACCGCTTGCTTGGACCGTACCGTCGTCGAGTTAACAAGCCTAGTTTCTTTCGTTAGACGAGCAAGATTGGAAAGTTCTCGTTTCTTGTTGATCGGAATGGTACGGTACAGCGCATGTAGCGTACACAGGCTGCGTCCTAATCGCATAGCGACAAAAACGGGCCGATCGATGAACACGACAAAAAGGAGACAAGGGATAATCTATGATCGTCGCGCGTCGTCAATTTGGACGTCATAATTTGGACGCGTCATAATAAGATGTGCTTTTCTTGTCGCGTTGGTTGGTCAGGTGGGCGATAACGATTTTTGTGTGCAACATCTAATTAGAACATAGCGATACACATGTACACACGCATTCTGGAACGTGTATAGACTCACGATCGGTCCGACGTCGTCCACAGTTACTCGATCCAACACTCACTCGCTCACACCTTTGCCCGAATATCGAATCAGTTTGTAAAAAGTACTAAATGTAATGTGCAGGAAGATCAAGATACATACTTGTAAATAATACAGTACAATTATTACGAATACTTGTTAAATATCGTATTTTACTATAAATATACAAGCGCGGTAAATTGGAAGGTTGACAGCGACGTAACGATAAATTACCGGCCAAAGATAACTTAGCGATGGTACGCGCCTTTACGTGTATAGAAATAAAATGGCGCGCGATAATATTTTCAGGTACACTGAACGTACACGAAATGATGTTTGGGAGGACTCATTCGTGTACACTTTCGTCGAATCTGCGTGTTCTTTGAAAAGTTTTAAACACTGTCGACTCATCGACATGCAAGTAGATACAGGTTCCCCGGACATATGCTGTCTTTTCAATCGCGATCGTTGCATGTCTCTTTACGATTGTTTATAACATTTTAAAAATACGACGAAGATGTTGGGACTAGATGAAAGAAAGAAAGAAAGAAAGAAGGAAAGAAAGAATAGTGACAGACGCGATATTGTACATGTACAAGTTGTACACTGAAATATACGTGCTAACGGTTGCCCTGTCCGAAAGAAAGATTACTCGTTCGTCGATTAATTGGGGTTGCGCGGTTACGACGGTGTCTAGAAATAATAAAATATAAGTACGTATATCCTTGTTGACCGCAACGCGGCAGGAGTGCGCGACGAGGCCATATACGCAAGAGACGTACGTATGCGGGCATGGAGTTTCGTGTTCGACTCGTTAAGGAAAAGTTTTCTGACATTGTTGACCCGTTTCATTTTGAATCTTTGCTTGTTTCCCTTCCTTTTTTTCCCTTCGAACGAATTCGGGATCGTTCCAGTATTGGACCTCGCCGCTAGCGAACAGCACAAAAATCAAATTCGTAAGAATAAAAACACCGAGGACAATCCAAAAGACGAGTCTCCATTCGTAGAGTCTATTGTTGGAAGTTAATAGGCCGACGATGTACGGGGTGATGATACCCGAAAGAGCACCTAGGCCGTTCACAACAGCCATCAGAGTGCCGGAATAATTTGGACTGAGATCGAGCGCGTTAACTTTCATTCCTGGATAGAAGGTACCTGAAACAGAATCGTCGACAATTGTAACCGTTCGTCCGTTGGAACGACTTTGCTTCGCTGGCGAAGAGAGGAGCTAGGTCCCTAGTCCCGAGTCGTTTCGGAGAAAAAAGATCGTTTTGCACGTACCCATTAGAGTAGCCCCGACGGTGAACATCACAACGACCAGCGTTCTATCGCAGCCGGCGTAAGAGGCGGCGATTATAAATATTCCGGGACCGAGGGAAGCGATGGTCGTGCCCAGTTTACGCACGTTGGTACGCGACATCGCGCCGCTCGTGATCATCCAGTCGGCCAGCCAGGATGTAATTATACTGCAAACCCACATCGTTAGATAGGGCAGAGCAGAGAGCAACCCGTTGCTCTTGATCGAGTACTTGAGCACGTTGCTCATGTATTTCGGAAGGTCGTTGATCAGCGTGAAGAAACCCCAGTCGTGGCCGATCTGCGCCATTATCAGTGCCCAAACCGGCACCGATCGAAGAATGTGCGTCCACGGCACCGACGGACGCTTCGCGTGCGTGTGAGCGCGCATCCTTTCGCTCAGAAACATCTTCTCTTTCTCGGAGATGAACGGATGCGTGTCCGGATTGTTGTAACAAATTGCCAGCCATAGGCAATACCAGAGCACTCCGATGCCGCCGAAGACGTAAAACACCGCCGGCCAGCCCATCGACGAGTAATGTAGAATGATTCCGGACAAGACGTTTGCGAATACCGTACCGAGTTGGGCACCGGCGAACACCAACGTGCCTATCTTCGATCTCTCCTCCGGCGGTGTCCATTGCGCCAGCATAGCGTTCAACGCCGGAAACGTTGTACCCTCGCAGAGACCCATCAGTACGCGAAGTATGATCAATCCGGTTGCTTCTCCGTATTCGACGACGATCGGTGTCAAGAGCGTGAAGAGGGCGGTTGCCAGAATACCGAGGCCAAGGAAGTGCTTTCCACCAAATTTCTCGGACAGCAGACCACCCGGCAAATGCGTCACTATGTAGCCCCAATAGAACGACGACAGTATAGCTCCCTGGCCGTGTGGGACGAGAATGGGAACGGGAGCAAGAACAAGAAACAAGGACGCGAGATGCTGTATTAAATCGGACTTGCCGCAAACGTCAACGGCAACGTCGACGCATCACCGTGTCACCGTGTCACAATGGCGATTCTCGTTACTGTCGCTATCACCATAGTTGTCGTATACGCGTATCTTACGATTGAAATGTTGTCGCCGACACGTTCGGAATTTTCCTTTACCTGCGTGACTGGGTCCCAGTTGTAAACCATCGCATCGGATGGTTTCGTTTGATTGGCATGCACTTGATCTTCCTCCATGATCGGGCAACTATCGGCATCGGCGTTATCCGTTGTATTTTCCTGTTGCACCATCTCGGTAATCGTGATCGAGAGGCAAACTCTCATTGTGTAAGCGTTGAACAATGCCAAAAATCCCATTAACGCAAATACCCATCGCTGCGAGATGTTCCCGCCTGTATACAACACGCGTATGCCACACGTTTTATTAGTTTCATCGAACGCTTTCGATCGTATCGATAAATGGAGGACTGCGACGGATAAACGGATCGTATTCGGATAGGCGGACAGAGGAATAGAGAATTGTACGGACACGGGCACCGCGACCGTGTTCACGACCGCGTCCGTGTCCGCGTCCGCGTCCGCGTCCGCAAAGAAGAAAGCTCGAGGTCAACGGCGCGGAAGGAATGACGATTAGTAGAGCCTTTCCCTATTGGCAGCTGTCTAACGAACCGTACAAACCTATCTAGGTAAAGGTCAGATTCCTTGCACGTAACACTGTGACTTGGGTGCAACGCGATTTCAACTTCGTGATTGTGGCCCGTGTCCGTTTTTCTTTTTATTACCGCCCGAAAAGTCAACTAGCGGCCCTCTGTTTATCCCTTACCGCGGTCGCGTCAATCCGACTCGACTCGATTCGATTCGATACGATTCGATTCGATTCGATTCGATCAGATTAGATTAGACTCGACTCGATTCGATTCGATTGTAAGAACGAGACGTAGCGAACGGAATCGAAAGAAAATTTCGGCGATGATCCTTGAAATGAGAAAAGGTTGTGCGCGTATCGTATCGGTTAAGACCTCGAAACAAGAATTCGTGACACAACTGTAAATACGGACAGCTGCCGGGTGGTAGATACAGGAGGCGAACGAAAACAGATTTTGTAATGATCGATTAAAGGATCGAATAGAAATCTGGTGGACGTCCAAACGTTGGAAACAACGCATTTCCAACGAGCTGGCGAGTTTCGATATTTCAAAGTTTCTAAGATCGAATCAGCGGAATCGGATTAAAACGGGATGACAGATAGATACGATACGATACGATACGATACGATGCGATTACGATGTGCGACATAAGACGAACGCTATGTCCTAATTAGATGTCGTACGACGACAAAATCGTTGTCGTCGAACCGATCGATTTTGTTCGGTCATATTCACGATCGAATCGAACAGTTTTTAAGTGGTCGCTTTCCTTTTTTACAGAAAATTATTATGCAAGAAATATATTATAGAATAACAAAAACTACATGGAAGAGAAGACACGGTGCGGAAGCACAAATACGTATTAGGATCGACTAGAATTCGGCGAATTTCACCACCTTTGCTATCGATTACGCAGAAACGACTCTTCTTCTTTGTCCACTAATACACGATTTTTATAACTTTCTATCGATTTGTTCGATAAAATAAAACTAATCGATAACTTCTAGTTTCAAATTCGAACAATGCGTACGATAAATACGACGTTGTTGCATCGTGCGCATCGTTCGTACGGACCTGTCCCCGTAACATGTGTTTTTGTTTGTTTTTCGTGGTGTTGCACGGTCGGTTGGACGACGACAACGATTTAGTCGTTGCGCGATACCTAATTAGGATATATCGTAAAACATAATTTTAATTCTCCATTATTTTGAGTCGCTTCGTTGTGTAATACGATCGAACACCTGTAACAAAAGGTTTGGTAGGGGTGTTGTTGCGCGGTGTTCAAACAGAACGAGTATCAATAGAGTTATCGATCGTGAAACAAGCGCAACATGCTCCGAGAAATCGAGTTTATTAAAAAAAAAAAAAAGGAAAGATTTATAGAGATAAATAGTGATACACGAATATATGGCCCTCTGTTTCTGGCTGATCCGAATATGTACATATATATCGTATCCGTACCATTCCCGGCATCTTGGTGAACGCGTATATTTTTTGGAACCGACATTGTCTTTGAAATCTGAAACACATGTCGGTGTGTGCAGCCCCAGCAATTTTATCTTATCTATCGACGATACATGGGAAATCCAAATGCGAGATGTCAAAAATTGTCTCGAGAAGATACTTCTGTTCGATTTAATGACTGATTGTATCGGCAGCTGGTCGTTGATTCGTTGCGAAGATAATGAGAGAAAAAGAAACGATGTTTGACTTGCGCCGATGTCTATAGATAATCGGAAACAATGTTAATTCTACTAATCCCGACTCGCGTGCTTGCCAATTAGTTTTCTCTCTCACAATAAATCATTAATCCCTCGGTATTAACGGCGAAGCGATAAAACTTTTGAGAAGTAAATCAGCCGTTGTATTTATCGTGATCTACCCACGTAAGTACATGTTGTTTCGTTGAATCGCGTTGTACGGTGTCGCATATCGTTGCTCACCGCGTCGCCCCGGTGGTAAACGGAACATTTTTCCCCCGCATCCGTTTCAAAATTTAATATCATAAAAACCGTTCGAAGTGACAGTGGCCGGGGAAGAAAACGGCACGTTTGAAACTGGATCGCTTGAAATTCGACGAGTTTCAAAATAATGAAATCGACGTATATTACGATTTACGTATAAGCTGTACGTATTATATTATCGATAAAACTACGAAAACTGAGAACTTGGAGAACGAAGCCGGCATAGCGGTACGCGTCGTTGCAGGATTTCAGATCCAACATTATTTACAATGCAAACAGTCGTCGAGGAACGGCTTCGATCTATGCGCAATAAGAATATTAATTTCCCAGAAAATCTAATAGCCGCGATAATATTTAACGCAAATATCGATGTTGTTCCATTTGCATCGTGGATGTCTTAAAATGAATAAAAAAGCTAACAAAATAGAATCGGTGATTCGAAGTTCGAGAAAAGTAAAAGACATGAAAAATCAAAGAGAACGCGAAAGGTAGTCGTATTCCTCCATCTCATTGCATCGCATCGTATCGTATGGTATCGTATCGTATCGCATTGCAAGATTTTCATTTAAATTAGGCATACGTTGTACTAAAATTATATTATACTTACAACACAGTTTCCAGGCAGATAACATTTTGTGAAATCTAATGAAATTGTTGAAAAGTTGACAAACCTTGAAATAAAATAAGAGATAGGTATGTACATACATGCATAGTATCGACGATCCAAAGTATGCGATATCCTAACTTGGAGGGAATACGTACGCGGACAACCCTTTTTGCTGACAAAACGAGCTGAAAGAAGGATTCAACGACGCAGCGATCTCGATTTTTTCGTTCACAATGTTCAACGATAATATACTATATAATACTGTATTGTTGATCCGTGCCTGTGTATACCTCGATCACATGTTGCGACTAACTGAATCGACGTTCTCTGCGCGAATTCGTTTTATACTTGTACACGTGCTCTTCGTTGGACGCAAAAAGGGAAAGGAAACGTGGATAAGACGCTAAGCAACGCAGTACTGGTAAAAGTTGACGCGGAGGAGGCAGAACCAAACCGGGAGGGGAAATGATAACGCGACGAGACATGTATCCGTTTTTCATATTTTACGGTAACGTACAATTCAATATCCATCGGTATCGACATCGTCGACTATTAAGTATTTAACAAAAAGTTACAATAAATCGACGATTATCGTATCGTGTGTACAACGATATATAGGATCGTTGATCAATTTCAGCCATTCGTGTCCGTATATGTTGTGATACATTATGATATTTTGTGGAATCTGCTAATTTTCTGTTACGAAACCACCTCTCCGTTCGCCTTATCCGTTATAAATTCCGACGGCAGTCAACGATAGCGCTCTATGCTTCTAATTCGATGCTTTTTCATTCTATTTAAACTTTTCACTTGGTCGGAGCAGCTTCGGAAACGCAGCGCGACAGCCGAGCTGAAATACACCGGACTATAAAAGTCTGGATTCAACGAAACTATCGGTAATCTAATAAGTCATCGGCTTATAGCGACTTGATAAATAACGAATTATAGTCCTTAGACGACACGAACGCAATCGTAACACGAGTAATACAAAGCAAACACAATATGTAAAAGCATCCTATAGTTATATTACCGCAGCGATAATGAATTTCGTCGACAAATTACACCGATTGCTCAAGTTTCGAGACAAGGCTTTGATAATTTCGCAACTCCCCCGTTACGAAGAATCGAAAGCAGAAAACAAATGTTTGCCGTTTGAGCAACGAGGAACCGCAAAAGTTTGGCAAGCGGCGTTTCGTATGAATTTTCTGAACGCGAGCAGGAAAACTACTGTCAGGGTCTCGGTTACATACCGCACCTGGCACACAACTGCATATAATAAGAAGAAGGAATGTTTATAACGCTTGAATCGGCTTGCAATCGATTATTGCGATTACGTAAGCGACACGAATTATTTCACATAAAAATGTAGTTTTTATTGGTGTAGCGATACAAAACAAGTTGGTCGGTGTGTATCGTTCGAACCTTGTTTCCACGATTTCATGATTTCACGGGTACATAATGTTCGCATGGAAGGCACGTGCGGTACTGCTTATAGAATTAGAAGAAGAATTATACCATCCGTTTATTTGCCGATATCGATATTGTTCAAGATCGAAGATAATGAAATGCTGTCACCCCTAATAACGCAGGATGAAGTGGATCTGCGATAAGATCGACCAAGTTTGACAAGATTCGACAACAGAAATTGGTGAAATGCGATACGCCGATACGTGGCTCCTTCTCATAATTTATATCGGTTTCCGATCGTGTATCTCGCGGTGCTATCGGAATAAAGTAACATTTTCTTTCGGACGAATACAGTAATTCCGTTCAATGTTGTCGGCAACATTTCAGAACAGAAGGAATGATGTAGGAAGAACGAATGTGTGAAATAAAAATGTTCACGGCATCGTAAAGCAGAACTTGAAAGAGGAATGTTAACGTAAACTTTGAGAGCTTTTCCTCAACCCTTTATAGATTCGAGGTATTTCATTCGCCATCTTGGCGCTTTCTTCCTTAGCTTTCGCTACAGCTTTCTCCAATTCGTGTGCCTGAAACGTACATTTATCTCGTTAGAAAGGAGCTAGGAGGAGTTTCAAAGAGTTTTCGAACAAGTTCTATCGATTTCCCATTTCCTTGGACAATACTTACGCATTCTTTCGCTGTATATTTTCTAAACAGATCATAAAACTCCTGTATCGTCCACGATGCCTCGTCAGGTTTCCCTAATTCTATATACGAACATTCCGACTGATGCTTCGCATGCTCTGTCCTGAAACGAATTAACACGATATTGTGGATAACCAAAAGCAAAGATCGAAGAACGAGAAATAGATACCATGGATCGTCGTCCGGATCCCAACCATCGAGTTGTTTAGAACAAATGAAACATTCGACCAAATCTGGTTCTTGTTCACCACCGATAGCAACGAATCCCGCACTAGCCATACGTTCCGGGTTGCAGGGATTATTGGACGATTGAAACGGCCAATGTTCGAATGTTTGTAATCTACGAGCTTTCCAAAATGTTGAATGATGTCCTCTGAAAAAAGGAACTAGCTGCTTTATCGAACAAGGCAAGGTTACGAAGACGTTAACTTTTCGACAGCTTTCTGGGCCGACGTTCGATACAGTTGGACGAGATCCGAGATCAAATATCACTCTTACGGAAATAAATCCATGATTTCTTTATCTTTGATAAAGCATTCGCCGATTCCTACAATTAAGATACACAAAACGATGTATGTAACATCCAACTGGTCGGCAAATCAGAATTTGATGTTTGGCTGCTTTGGCACTGACACTAGAAGCGTATTTCGCACGCTCGGACTCTTTGAAAATTTTGTAACCGTTCGAAATGTGGAACAATTGCTCGCCCTCTGCGATCTATGTACATCTACGGCTACGACCAGCTACGCTACGACTCTACGCGGCATACCTGACCGTCGCTATCGCCACCTGGCGCAGATCTCGTTCAATTACTTGGCTACGTGAAAACGAGACACAGTTGGTACGTAATAACGGGAACTGTTACATCGACGCAACGAAAATAGAATCTTTCTCGCGACAGTTTTATCGACTCGACGTTTGGCGGTATGTGTGAATTTGGACGGTACGAATGATATTTCAAACGATTTGCATTAGAAATCGAGAAGAGTCTGTTTGCGTCAACATTTCACCCGAATAACGTTGCTATGTCTGCGTTAACCGTACTCTACATTACATACCTGTATAGTATACGTACATATAAATTACAGGACATATAAATAATATTGTATAATATGTAGCATATAGGTATGTACAGAAGACAACAATTGTCATGGCAACACGATAACATTCGGTCACCGAATGTGCTATCGGAGTGTACATACATGAGAAACGAAACAGTTTCAAAGTGCATGTTTCGGTAAAGACGGATCTAGCGCGAACATATATAAACGTTCGCATTGTTGAAACTCTACAAGGTGCATATACTTGGTATCGTGTAAAGTATCGTAAACATGGAACAACTCGAATTATTCGGAGTGATAGCATTCGACGGTTGGTATACTTATTGTTAGAAATGTTCGAAATGATTTGCAGCAACTCGATCCCATTAAGCTTTCGAATTCCTCGGCATCCTTACTCGTGTTTGTATATTGTAGGCTCGATCAGAAACGGTTTGCGATCGCATCCGGATGGACAGCATCTTGTTTATCCGATGGGCAACAAAGTCGCTATAAAGAATTTGAAAACGAAAGAACAAACATTCCTCACGGGTCACAAAAATTTAGTCTCCGCTTTGTGCGTCTCGCCTCGTGGACATCTTCTAGCTTCCGGTCAAGTGACCCACCATGGTTTCAAGGTGATTGATTTCGCGATCGCGGTACAGGGAGATCGGTTGGATCCATTATTTAAGAATCGAATGATTTCCTTGTTGCACAGGCAATGGTGATAATATGGGATTATGAGAAACGCGAAATGAAAGCTAGTTACGAGATGCACAAAGTAAGAGTCGAGGACGTGTGTTTTACACGGAACGAAGAATATCTTATCAGTCTTGGAGGGATGGACGACGGCAGCATCGTGGTATGGGACGTTTTAAATGAAACTCCCCTTTGCGGTGGTATCGCTAGCAAAGAATCGTCCGGAAATGCTTTGTCGATCGCTGCTATGCACGTTAGCGATACGAGTTTCGTCACAGCCGGAGAAGGAACGCTTCGAGTTTGGCTCGTGGGTTCGGAAAAGAGGAAACTCCATGGAATCGATGTTAAGATCGGTAAGATTCGTCGTGACATCAACTGTGCCGTTGTAGACGACAAAGATGAGTACGTCTATTGTGGAACAACATCCGGAGACATCGTGAAAGCAAGGTGAATTTTGCAGTTTGTCCGATTTATTGTTCAAAAGTTTGTCAAAAATGTACGAGCACGATCGATCACAGTTTCATTTCCCACAGATTGAATATGACGGAGACGAATGAGAAGTCGTCGCCGTTGTCGTCACTTGTCAATCCGGTGATGATCGGATGCTATTCGAAAATACCACGAGCTGGAACGAAACCAAAGACATGCGGAATGGTATACGCGGGTGGCGTAAAAAGCTTGTTGCTTTTACGAAACGAGCAATTGATAGTTGGTGCTGGAGATGGAACGGTAGAGTTGATTGAAATAACAAAAGGCGACGCGACACCCGTGAAGAACGGATCCACCCGAGAAAAACTTTTCTGCCATGTTCTGCCATGTATAGTAACGGTAAACTATTCTTACACACGTGTCCAATCATATACATACGTTTCACGCGTTATGCGTTATTGTGTTGTACGCGGTGGCCGCCACAGCATCGACAGGGGCATGTTTGCGGCACGGTGACATCCATGGTCAGCAGCTACAAAAACGATGCGATATTAGTAGGGACGGCTCGATGCGAGATTTACGAAATCCAAGTATCGAATTTTCATACGCGTTTGCTCGTTAGTTGCCACACTGGTTCGATCTATGATCTCGCCTTCCCACGGTAAATCTTTCTTCGAACAATCTTCCGTTAGATCGTAGCCAAAAAATTCATTCGTTCAAACTGATTTCTTACAGCGATCATTCCGAAATATTTGCAACGACTGGGAAACATGATTTGCGAATATGGCAGCTAAGGACGCAGAAGGAACTGTTACGCATCACTGTGCCGAATTTCTTCTGTTCTAGCTTGTGCTTCGATGGAAACAGCGCCACTATAATATCCGGTAAGGCATCTCTGAATTTTAGCGTACCTTTATTCGCGGTTGTTCCGCGTAGACGTTATATTATCTTGCTTTGCAAAGCTTGGGAGGATGGTGCGATACGGGGATTCGCACTGAACGGAGGGAACCTCGTATTCGCCATTGATCGAGCGCACACAAAGTCTGTGTCAGCGGTCACGATCACAAACGATGATTGCAAATTGATTAGCGGGGGTTGCGACGGTCAGGTATGTGTGTACGAAACTTCCATTTCTATCGCTATTCCCACTCCCTCTCTCGCTAGCGAAGAAGACGCAACTCTATTATGTAATAACACGGTAGTAAGTATGAATTTCTTGCAATTCTAACTATAATTTCACATACGATTCGATTCAGGTGCGCGTATGGAACGCAAAATCCGAAATGCGGCAACTGTTACACGTTTTAAAGCAACATCGAGGGCCGATTACCGCCCTACGCGTTTCGTCGAACGATGAGAATCTGATTAGTTCGAGTACAGACGGGACATGCATCGTATGGAATGTAAGGTAATGCTGTGCAATACCAAACAACAGACTAGATTTTACGATTAGCAACGCCCCGCACAATCTATTGTATATTCTACGTATAGTTTGTCATCTTGTATAGGAATTTCACGAGAAGATTCGCGTTGCAGTCAAATACAATGTACATGTCGGCGTGTTTCGTACCTGACGGTGTCCAAATTTTAACATGTGGCACAGATCGCAAAATTGCTTATTGGGAGACTTTGGATGGTTCGTTGGTCCGAGAGGTAGAAGGTTCTACGATTGGTACGCTGAACGCTGTGGCAGTCAGTCACGATGGACGATACTTTCTCACCGGATCGGATAATTGTATCGTAAAACTCTGGAAATATCGTACCGCGGACGCCGTTGGATTGGGTCTTGCTCATGCAGCTCCGATCAGCAGTTGCGCTTTTTCCCCGAATGGTGAATTTATGGTTACAGTAAGCACGGACGGAGCTATAATGATCTGGAAAAAACCGAATGATATGCTCATCGTGGAACACGTGGACAAGTTTCAAGAATCGCGTACGTCGCAAAGTAGTCTATGTTGTAACAACGACGCTATTTGCAGCGACATTGCCGTTACCAACATCTAATCAATTTTAATTGTACACGCCGAAGCGGTCAGCGTGTTACATGCCAACGAATCTTATGTTCATCGATTAACTTGCTAAATCAATATTTCTGTTGGCGCTGAAACTTTAGAAGTTGTGTAGAGCGACGGAAAATTACTGTTTTGTAAAAATATAAATCGAGTCGATATATAACGATACTAAACCATGGTATTTACAGGCTCTTTGTCGGTGGACAAAGTCCATCGTCTGTCTTACACCGTTGTCGAAAGTAGTCATAATTATTATTTCGATACGAGTAGGAAGTATACATGAGATCCGCTTCAACCCCAAGCTTGACTTTTACAGTAATGAAGTATTAATTTTCCATCGGCGCCGTAACAGTCGTACAAATTCTTCACCATTTGATCCGGTGCTGGCGCAAAGGTCTGATTTACATATAGGAACTAGTAAAGAAAAATTTATACGTAAAATTGTGTACGTCGATCGATTTGTATTAAAAGAAAGACGATCTTGCGTTAGACTCACCAGTTTTTCGCTCGGCTCTAATTTCAAATATCTCCTAACAAAATCAGAAATTTTGCCGATAGAAGAATCTTGGGAGACCGACCATTTCTTCTGCTTCATTATAGGAGCATTACCGGTTGCTTTCAATAATATATCTACTAAAAAGTTTATTACATGGTGACCAAACTGTTACGTGTACGCGATATTGCGAATCGTTTGTAACCCAAAAATAATGAATCTTTTACTTTTTGCTTTGTCCTTGGAAACTGTTTGAACTCCATTTCGCGCTACAAGTGCTTCGGAAGGAATTGTTTCGAGACTGGCTGGTGCTTCTTCGTTCGGCATGTTTTCCCCCGTTTCCTCGGATTTTCCCGTAGTTTCTTGTGTACATTCGTTTCCCCTCTTCTCAGACATGGCAAACGGTACGCATTTGCGTGCAATATTTCAAATCTCAACAAAATATTGGCAGCACGAACGAAGTATGATTTCAATAGGGCAATTCCAACGATTTAGTTATCACAGTGTTTAACCAAAAATTGAGAAATCAAGAATTCGAGCATTCCAAGTTCATCGATCGTAGAATGCAAATTACATGCACTTGGTTGCAAATACCGGATTGCATTGGAACATAATCGTACCATTCGCTGGTATGCGATTAAGTGGTAGAAATACAGTACGTACTGTCGGAGTGTCGTGTATCAGCGTATGCTGGCGTACCGTGTACGAATACGATTAAGATCATTATCGCTGATCACAAATTGATAACAAAACACAATTGCGATACATACTACATACATACTGCTACGCCATCTAGATATAACTAGATCAAGTAAACTGTACTAGTCGCAGCATAGTTAGTTTTAAGTTCTTATGTTGTAAGTCTAGTTTCGAGGGTTGTGGGTGCTTCAGTTTTCCGAGATTGGTATTGATCGGTGTATGTATCGGCAGAGGAGAAAACGAAAGCCGTATGAAAACGGTCATCGTTCCCTTAGACCGGAGCTTGCTCATTGTGACAAATTCTTTTCAGAATTTCAGATTCAGAGACCTCACGAATGGGATTGGATGATACCAATGCATTCCAATGACAATGTCTCGTCAGTGGTCCCCGGCACATTCTTGCTCCGGTCCCTCCTCCGCCACCACCGCCGCCGTTCTGCAGCACATTCCAGTCGCATACGTATCTACAACGTACACCGTGTGTTATGCATTCAAGCAGAGGTTATGTACATATGTTGTAAGCTGTAACTAGGAGTGGAAGAGGTTAGGTCAGAGAATAGGAGGTTGGTCGTTGCGCGGTTATCGAATATGGCGATTAAATACATTGGTCGAACAACTACTTTCAAAGGAAAATCTTTATGGGAAATTTTGGGAAATTTGAAGAATTACGGAGTTGGCAGAATGGTTATCCGTAGCCAGCATCAAAGATATCCTGAGGCGAGTTACATGAGAATACTAAAAGTAGCCGCGTTGCCGTTGGTCGGCGAGACAAATCCAAACGTAAGTTTGTAAACTTGTTTGTTTTGTTCGACGCAAACATGTTTTTCGGCAGTCGAACACTCGTGTCACCCGCTTGTGTCGCGTGTTACAGAATATACGGAAAGTGGTCGCGCTCGTCCAAAGGACGTTTCGCGGTGAAACGACCGCGAAACCTCTTCAGATAGATTCGGTAACTTATAAGGCGGATTACGTGTTGATACCGAAGGATCAGGAGTCACGTTATTTAAATGTATCTAGTCAACGAACTGTGAAACTTATGCCAAGCAAAACAGAATTTCCACCTTTGCTGAAGGAGATTTTAATTCGAGAAGCAAAACAGGTAAGGTTGAAATATCCCGAGGGAGAACCGAAACTACGACTTCGATACAACTTGAATGGAGTCAAGAATTACAAGATCGCGGAGGACCAAGAAACGCCAACGATCGACAATGAAACGTCGATCCAACCTACTCTGTATATGAACGATGTGGACGAACACAAAATCGGTTGCAATAATGAATTTTAGAAATCTTTCAAAATGTACATGCATAAACCGAATTGTCGAAATACTAACTTGTCCGCGGTTTACACGATGGCGCCATCTTTTGATTCCAAACGATTTATTTTGTTCGCTGCAATTGCACGACGATGCGCTTTACAGCGAAGAAAACCGTTATTATGCGTCCTCGTCTCGTACTCGTTGCCGATCCGTATCGTACCTACAATTGTTTTGTTCGTTATCGGATTTAACTAATTTCCAAATAAATGTATCAATAAAATATTGAACAATGTCTACCCGTAATCGTTGTTGGTTCTTGTTGACCTACACCACGATCATCGATCCGCTTGCTAGTCAAATTTTGCTCAGCGAAATTCTAACGTTCGGAGCGATGATGAAATGGATGTATGTACAATGTATGTACACGTGCGCGACTTTATGATCGCAGGATACATATGTATATATCGCAAAGAGCGTACACTAACCTTCCAAAATTGTCTCAATTCTTGAACGTCAACGCGTTTTCGTATAAGCCAGCCACGAACGTGTCTCTGTATGCACAGAGCAGCCCCGTCCTTGGACCATAGCCACGATTTAGGATAAGGTGGCCTGTGAACGTATAACTTGTTGAAAGTACGAAGAATCAATAGCTCGTACATGCATGCACGCACGCACACACGTTCGTTATTTATGCTAATTTACACACCGCACAGATAGCCATCGTTGAAACAGTGGGATGTCGAAGGCACGTATATGAGAGGAAATTCTCCGGTAACGACGCAGGTTTCGATTCCACAAAATCTCTGCGAGATGATCAAGACCGTTGAACCGACACTTTTGTATCTGTACATAACCATTTATTTAATAAATACGTATCGTATTTTAATGAAAATTTAGTGATACCCGAAGCGCGTTCCACTTGTCCGCAGCAAGAAGCGTTTCCTCCAACGTGGGCAATAACAATCGAAATACTTGTTGATCGATATAATTCGATGACGACTGGTGCCGGTCGAGATTCAGCAACGCATGATCGATCGATCTCGAATATCCGATCGTTTCGTCGACGCAGCATTTGCATTCGCATTCGCATTCGCATTCGTATTTATATTTATATTTGTATTCGCATTTGCAGCTACACCTTTCAACGTTGGCCAGGCAGTCATTTTTGGCCGGCAGCCGATGCAAAAGCATGGAACGCATTACAAGATCTTACGCGTGTCACGTACAGACGGGATTAGATTTATAGGATAATTGAATGCCTGTGAAAGTCATTTGTCAATTGGTCGGTACCGAGACAACGAGAGATATCGAACGATCAACAAGATGCGTTGTTCGATCAAAGATTTCAATTCGATAATGGAACCTTTCTCAAAGTCGGTATAATTCTAGTAGCCTCCTCAATGCCGGGATGCGAGATTTGGTGTCCGTTACTAAGAGATGAATTGAAGAAAATAGGTACGAATCGCTTGTGTTTGTTATCCAACGATAACATTGAAAAAGTAGAAACTGAAAGATCGCTTTCTTTCTTTTTCGTTTGGTTACATGGCCGTTCGGCTGGATCGGTACACAGTGATTTTCTGAGAAATACAAGTTTCAGTCTCGCAAGCACCGTGGATCTGGAACGAGCAGCAGCTCGCGTCGGGAGCACGAGATGGCGAAACAGCGGACTGGGATCTCGATCGCGATCGCGATGATCGAAAAGAAGAAAGAACGACAGCGAGACGCGTCTTCCCGAAACGGACAATATACGCAGGCGAAGACGGAGAGAAGGGTAACGGAACAGAAGGAAGCGCAGCTTTTATCGATGGTGTTGGAGCGGTAACGGGTCCGGAGAAAACGAGGCCGGGATCTCCTCGGCAACTTTCCGACATCGATGGAGTAAAAGATAAAGTGGAATCGGCCACACAGTCCCCGCGCGATGGTAAGAATGGTGGTGAGCTCGATTTGAAATGGGATTTTGAGTCGTTGGATTCGTGCCATCCGCGAAACGATGTATTTGTGCGAACGGGTACGAGAAAGTCTAACGGGTTTTGCGTATTCGTTAGCGTTTTCGCAAGCTGTCGAGGAATGGGATGCGCAAGATCCGTTTTGGTCTCGGCCGATCGTGCGTACCGCGGAAATGGAAATGGAAACGGAAACGGAGACGCGAATCAAGAAGGACAAAGAGGTGTTCACCGCGGAGCAACCTTCGAGTCTAGGTAAATCCAATGTTAAGATTAGTTTAGTGTAACGCCGTTACGCGTACGCTTGTGTTTGCTAGAGATCAGGAAGGAAGGAGCTTGACCTAGGTCACTCTCTTATATATGTACAGGAACCGACGGCGGTATTATCAAAAAGGACGAGTTGGTAACATCCGATGTGATTCGCTTCGAAGACGAATGCGAACCAACCTGTCCACGTCGTATCTCGCGAAGCAAGTATTTTTTCTTTAGAAATGAATCGTAACGGGATCTTAGCGATCGATAAAGTGAAAATTCAAATCGCTCGAATGTCATTCCTATAGAAAACAGAATACGCAAACTCGAGGAAAGACAGAAGATCGTGGACACGTATTTGCTGAACAAGGGTACACGTTACTTCGACAATGTCTGCACTTGTTCCCTCTCTTGTATCGTTCGTGCATTGAAACAAGACACATTTGTTAAAAGTATAATAGCATCTGTCGCTCTATTCGCATTTGGTATGAAACTTTGCACGGAATTTGATGCATGGTACCTACCCATTCGACTTTCGTGAAACAATATTAAAACAGCGTCCTGGAAAATACGAAAATACGAAAATAAATACGAAAATACGAAAATACGAACATACGAACATACGAAGATACGAAAATACGAAAATACGAAAATACGAAAATACGAAAATACGAAAATATAAAAATACGAAAATACGAAAATACGAAAATAAAGAAATATAAAACCAAAAATGAAACAGAATAGAATCCCAATCTGATGTATATCGAATATCTATGTTTCATTTTGATGTTGTTGCTGCTATTTATTAATATTTGCGGTAGAAGTTGTAACGAATGCGTATGAAATAAAATGCAATTTCAAGATAACAGAGCAATGTTGCACGAAAAAAAAATGCTCCAGGTGAGGCTCGAACTCACAACCCCGGCATTGCTCACTAGTCACTGTCTTATAAGTACCGTGCGCTAACCAATTGCGCCACTGGAGCTGTTGGTAACAACCCCGCTAATAAGTGTTTTCTACTTCTCGTTCATGAAATTGGGAAAAGGTATTACATTTTTCAAGTATCGAGAATCTGTATCTTTTCCAATAATATAAAAAACATTTCCGGTATACTGGTACAATGTGTCGCCTTGTACACGTATATGCGTAATACGCACGTGTCAGGTATTGTATATATGCATATGCGCAAATAATGTGGTATACGCTATAAAGTTTCTTTTTTTGTTACGACGATATCTACCGATGAAATATGGAAAAAGCTGTGGGGGGTTCCAGTAAGAATCTTTTATTACCTTAGAAATTCGCCAAGCATTGGAAAGATGTACGTATATGTATATTCATGTGTATACATTGAGAAACATGTAAGTATAACGTTATTAACGTTGTCTGTTTGCCAATTACCTTGCTTGGATAATAACGTTACATACTGTTTTTGCAACACGCTTCGCAAAACTAACATTTACGTAATGCGTGTATTGTATGTTGCTGCTTACTGCTTAGCTTTGTAGCGTGTTTCTGCGACAACAACAACGACTGCGACCAGTTTGTCTGAACATCTGAACGTTCGATACGGATCTACGAAGAAACGTTGAGAGTGATTCGAATTGTACATGTATGTGTACATAGATTTGTGTTTCGTTGTATGAACACACATTATCATTCGCTTGTACCAAAGACTTGTACATACATTGTATGTTATAGATTTTCGAAACAAGAGCGAAAAAAATGCCGACGTGTCGAACGTCAAAAAATTTGATACATACATACATAATGCGTGTTTGAATGATCGAATTATCGAATACATAACGCGTAATCGCATACACATAAATATACGCGTATGTGAATTTACGTATGCGCACACGACTATGGTATACATGTGCCTCGTTTATGTCGATACATGACATGCACAATCATGTCCGGTTGCCGAACATCGGTCTGCCTATGAAAATTGTGTTATGGTTGTTCATCGTTGGCAAGTTCTTTTATTCTAACGGTTGAGTACAGTGTAATTGTATGT